ATCTATCTATCTATCTATCTATCTATCTATCTATCTATCTATCTATCTATCTATCTATCTATCTATCTATCTATCTATCTATATGCAACAATAATTTCCACACTGATTCTCCTCATGAAATGTATTCTGTCGTATATAAATATTTTTGATACCACGGAAGAAGCAAGGTGAGTTGAGCTCTTCAGATAGTACACATAAGACCTTAACAAATTACACAACACTCTAAGTGGCCTATTTAGCTGCGGCATAACTCTTCTTTGCTCTGCAGAGCCAAGTTTATACTACAAATCACCTTGGTTTAAGCTGCCCACTTCAGTCCACTGCAGTTTGTTTTGGAACCRCAGAGGCAACATGCTTGTAAAATTGATGAGCTTGTTCATGGTCCGTTGCTTAGGGGATGGTTGTGGTGGTGGGGCGAGGCGTGTGGAGTTTCTTTGTCAGGTGATACAGCTGCTCTCAACACACATATCGGGTGATGGTGGATTAGCTTGCTCTTTATGGAAGAGCTTTTGCCGAAGCATTGTGTGTTATCACCTCCACAGTAGAATTCTAAATAAAAAATAAAAATCCATGGCCTTGTGAACTTTATACTTAAACTGTTTATACGTGTGTAAATAATTGATCATTTATGACAAGACRTGGCCTTGATAGTATCGCCGTTCTTGGGATATTTTTACTCTGTGCCCGGTCTTGAGTGTATTTAAAGGTGTTAGAGAAAGTTTCCACAACTCCCTTTTAATCCTGTATAAGGGAATCAAATCCTATTAAGCTGCAGGTTGGAGTGACTGTGACAAGTAAAGTGTGTTCTCTGGCTGCCACGTGTTTGCAGCTTGCCCTCAGTCTCATGCCAGTATTTTACACTGAATCTGCCTTGCATTCTGCTGTCAGAGCATCTCCGAGGTGTGTATCAGAGGGGACAGAGCCACGGTCAGCTCTGGTTGTGTTGCTTGTATAGCTGCTAAATCAAATGTGCTCATGTCTTGTACAAGTGGGAGTCGTTGTGCAGAACTGAACAGAGTTTGTTGCAGGCTTTTCAAGCCCAGCAAAATGCAGCACTGTGACACACAGCATGCAGCTGTGTGTGTGAACAATGCCACCCAAGTTTCACTTGCAGCCCAACTCCCCCACCCYACTGGTTTCAATGGAAGGAAGAACGTGCAGAGGAGAGCTCACAGTTTTCTCTCTCTCCTCATTGCTTCCTTCAGTGCAGATTTCCAGGCTTTTGTTCAAACGTCCTGTCAGCTGACTGAGCTCTCCCCAGGACTCTAAACCCAATCCAGTGACGCTCCTCTGCAGCTCGTGTTCATTGAAGAGATGCACTGAGCTTTTTTTTTTTTTTTTTCATCTCCCCTCTGCTTTCAATCTAACTGGATGAGCTTTCACTGAGCCGCCTGCAGAAGACGAATTAACCCCGCCGGTACTGACTTCTAATGTTTAGTTCTGCCCACTTTAAACAAGAGTTTGACTTTGTTTCTKCTTGGAAAGAAGGGAACGCGCGCGCTGCAAAAACGCACAACTTGGTTGGAGCAGAGCGCACGAGGTGAATGAAGAGAGAACAACTTGTTTATTTATTTTTTTTACATCAGACCCAGAAGCACCGGATGGATCGGGCTCTTCTTGGTTATCTTCGTTTCTCTCTGGATGTTTACTTTCATCTGGAGCTTTTTCTCCCTGTCTTTCTTGGACAAACAAAAACCTCTCTGGAATTTTAAGCAGGGGGGATCGACATGGCTGCGTCAGAAAAAGGTTTGAGCATCAAGGCTTGTGGATCTAGAAAAGTTAAGTCAGAAAGTTCTGCGAAATAGGGCAATTTTCTTGTATGACATTTTACTGTTTTATGCGCAGAGACGTTTAAAAAAAGGGAACGTTGAAAAACTTAAGAAGCTGTGGGTTATATTTGAACTTGAATGCAACAGTGCATGGCCGGTCCTAGCCAATTTGGTGCCCAGCGAGATTACCAGTGGTGTCCCTTGTGCAATTACTGCTTACTGCCAATTTACATCCATTTACGTAAATTAAATAGTTTTGTCTTTTATACTTTTTTTATCTTTAGAAACCAGGTTGTTCAATTAAAATAGTTAACAATATTATTCGTTTAAAACAGAACAGAAAATCTACCTCATACCTGCCAACATTTGCTGACAGCAATCAGGAACAAAGAACATTTGATCGAAGTTTTGGGATTAATAAAAAGGTGACCCCTGCACAACACAAAATTAGTATTTTATGAAGGTAGAACACAGAAAACCAGAGTTTAACCTGAACTTTATCTGAGATAACTGAAGCTTGTCCTTATTTTGTTTTCTATTTACACACTGAACAGTTGTTGGTCTCGACTGCATCTTAGATATTTTTTCATCAAGAAATAGCCACCATCTGCACCATATAACCTCAAGTAACAGGCTGAGAATTTTATTTTTTATTTATTTATCCTTTATTTATACAAGATGAT